TCCCCTTCTATCTCCCCCTTCGTCTCCTCCCCTTCCCCTTCCGTCTCCCCCTACTTCTCCACCACACCGTCTCCACTTTCTACATTGATAACTCTCACAATCGTCGCAAGCTCAGATCCACCATCGAGAAAGCACTCCCTGCCCATGAACATCGACTTCCTTCGTGCATCTGATACTACTCCGATATTGATGCCGTTGTCTCATTCAACTTGGGGTTGTTCAATTGGTCGTCGGAGATAGAAAGACGACGTATACATTCTCATCTCTCTATCGCCCTCAGTTTTTCTTGATCTCACTTTCTCTTACCTCTATCAACCCGGCGATCCGACCCGACCCAACCCAAAAATTTTGGGCTGGGTTGGGTTGGCTACTGTGTTCGGTTCCATCTGTTCCCTGATCTGACCAACCTAAAAATTCGAGTTGGTCCAAAAAACTTCCCAATCCCGACCCAACCCAACCCGTGAACACTCCTACATGTTAGTAGCAAAAGGTGTAAATATTTTGATCAATTGTACTTCATTTTCCGTTTCATTCATTGGTGCATTCCTTTTTTAATTGTTCTCTATTGAGTACTCATTGCCTTTTTTGGCGTTTTCTCCCTAAATTCATACTTCCAAATCCCCTGCCATTTTTTTATTCGAGGAAAAAGAATGACTCATCGAGGCAAACAAAGGAAAGAGAAGGGTTCCAGAAGGGTGTTTCACCTTTTAGACTTGGTATCATCAATTCAACAAATGAGCAGTCAAACTTACTTATAAGGGATATCGTTTTGTCTGATGACGAAGAAGATTTCAATGTTAGTGTTAGTATTGAAGATCCAGCAGAATATTTGGAAGAGAAAGTAGTTGTTAATGAAGATTTATCAGAGGTTTCTCTACCAGAGGAATTTAATTTACTTTTTCCAGAGGATAATCACTCTTCTGCAAAAATGGATTACATTCCTTCTCCTCCTCGGGAGTAGACATTGGCAGTCGAGCTTCTTGCGCAGATAATCAAAGTTTTTTTAAATTATTTAAGTTGTTGGCCTTACCCTAGATCCAATTTCTGATTAGGTAGGTTTTACTAATGGGCATCAGATTTTTGGTTGGTTCCGCTTTGCAGCAGTTTTGAGGGTTGAGTTTCTTCCGCTTTTGTGTCTTCTCTTGGTGGAGGGAGGTTTCAGTTTCTCTTCTTCTGGCGCTCTGCTTGTGTTAAGTGATGGTTTTGGTTTCCTCCTCAACTCCTTTGTTTTGGCGAACTTTCTTGTTACCAATGTTCAGCATCTGTTATTGGACTTCAGTTCTCATATTTTTTATGGGTTTTTGTTTTCTATGCTCTGTTTGTTTTTTCGTTTTTCTATTTTTGCTTCCTTTAGGAGCTTGTATCCTTGAACCTTTTTCTTCATTTTCATATTGTCAACGAAAAGTTTGTTTCTTGTTAAAAAACAATATTAATACAAGTCCTGTTTTTGTCTTTTTTTTAAAAAAAGTTCATCCTCAGGAAAAGTACATGGCAATGTTAAAGCTTATGCCTAGTAAATTGTTTGCTAGTAGCTGTAAGACCGTATGAACAATTGCAATATATCGCACTACAGTAAACTTTATGACCTACCTCAGTTTGCCAATTGCTTGACAAATATACCCATCCTTGCGTGATGAAAATTGATATTGTACCTCACAACTACTTGAAGAGGATATCCCCTGTCCTTGCTGCAATATTCTGGAATTTTCAGAAGTTATTGGTCTGAAAAGTTGTGGATCAAGTGCCTCACAAAGTAAGTCAAGCAACTGAACTTTGCCAAACTTTCCAACTTCATAAAGACACTGCAAAGGATGGATATTCAGAGTCAAATTCCAAAAAAGGGAAAAGTGAGCTCCATTACATAAAAAGATTAATGAAATTTAAGGCACCAGCAGAACAGCACTCCAACCCTTCTGCCATCTCTTTAGTTCTGACAATATATGACCAAGATCATTACCAGTCCGTTCGGCCAATGGGTACCTAAGCATGTTGTGTCAAAACATACTGTTAGTAAATCATTCACTAAATTGCATGTAGTTGCTGAGTTTTTTCATGGATACCTTGAATTAGACAGAAGATCTGAAGCATGCTTGGATAGAACGTCCAGCAAAAAGGCAGCATTCCCATCCTGAGAACCCTTTGGCAAAAATAAATCATATTGCATGTACGTAATAGAGGAAAACATGACTGAGAAATGCACAAACTTATGCTACTTTAAGTAGCAATCAAGACGTAGTTCTATGTTGGAAATCCAGTTTCTCCATAAGTAATAGTTATTGTTTCTATATTTCATCACTAAAGTACTTGCGATTGCACTAGAACCATGAAGACTCTGCATTTCGAAAGTATCAGTTGTTTAAGAATTTTATTTGAAATACATACGATTCAAATACAACAAGATACGAATTTCGCATTGATTAATGCAAAGGAAAACGTTCAAAGGATACAAGCTCTCGAAGGGAGCGAGAAAAACAAAAAAGAAAATGAGCCCGGAACAGAGGGATACAACCCAAAAGGGCAAAAGAGAATAACAACGATAAGACCATAAAAGCTACTATCAGAATGATCCTCCAAGATGCAAGGAAACAGAAAACAAATCTTAAAGAATCTGAAAGGTTTTTCCTTAGAGACAGAAAGTCCTTAGAGGATGTTTCTTGTAGCAATGTACAGCATATTTCTTCGTGGTGGACGT